CCGAATTTTAGAGGGGTCGAAATTTTGGAGTTTTCACGGTACTAATTATTCCATTTCAATGAAACTTAGTACAAAGATGCTCTAGGACAATGTACAAACCTAATTAGTTTGGGGTAAAAATCTGTTCATATTAATTCCCTAATAAGCATAATAATTCATAATTTTTTGGTTCTAATCACATTTCAATTAAACTTGGAGACATAGATTTTCTGTTACATTGCGCAGACCTCGTTAGTTTTACACTCAAATCTGGTCATATTAATTTTCTGATTTGCATAATTAGTTTTCAGCTAAGTAATTTCGAATTATATTTAATGTGTCTCCAATACTCTCAGCACATGGGAGTTCTTTCTAAGCTTTCTTTGATTTAATATATTATTTTCTATTGAGTCAACAATACAATAAGTGAAACCAGTGGCATCATGGGAAATCTTTACTTCTGTGGAGCACATGAGGCAGTGTGCATTCATTATACATGTTCTTGAAATTGTATGATCTTTACTCTAAATTTGCTTGAAAGCAACAGTGTAAGTGTAAAACAACAACTTATGTTGCCCTCAAGTCGGAAAGTTGAAAAATTGGGTCGGTCGGTAAGTCGGCCTGATATTTTTTTTTTTTTAAACTTGTGAAAACTAAGGGTATCGTAAATAGCTGAGGTATATGGGAATCAATCAAACGCATGCTAGATATTAAACACAAAAATCAAAGTGTTTCTTTCAGTCTTTTGTATTTAAACACAGATCAACCTGAGGTTCAAGGTCGCCACTTATCCTCCCGGGACCCTGGGGATCAAACAACGGTCCGGGATCGTTAAATTTTAGAGGAAACACTTTTTTACTGCTTAAAATAGTAAGTTTTTAATATTTGGGCCTAGTAAAAAAAAAACCACGACCTGGTATTTCATATTTTTCGGTCGGTCGCTGAGGGCAACAAAAACATTTTTTTTTGGCCTAATGTATCCAGGAGAGGCATTAAACAATCTAAGAATGTCCTTGTCGTTATTTGTTGGTATTTTCTGGAAATTATGATGGCTCAAATTATTGCTGCAAGGAATTTTAGGCATTTGATGGTTTAATGAAATTCAAAAAACAAAAGACAAAATTTGGTGTGAAACATTGTTTTCCTTGCACAAAACAGTTCTCATCATCTTGTGAAATATATGCAAATTTGTCCTGCAAATTGAAAGTAATTTACAGTACTTGTATAATGAAATTATGCCTGAAAAAAAAGGTTTTCCTCAACATCCTAGGAAGAATTTACATTTGTTTTGCTCTCAAATACATGCATTCAAGGTTTATTTTTCCTATTCTACAATTCGATCATGCTAACAAAATTGCTAAAAAAATGAGTTTGGTGCAGGTTTCAAACGTGACATGCACAATGACGAGAAGAAAATCTTTTTGGCCTTAGTTGGACATATTATTTTAATCAAATTGTTTTTTTGATTATTTTGTCCAAATTAGAATGTCTGATATCTCCATCCAGAAGAGGTATGTACAAAGATAAAGATGTTTTGAACTTAATTTCTGATGACGAGGATGATGTTATCTCTTTCGCGCCTTCAGTGAGTAGTAGCAAATCATCTCGCAGTTCAAGGGCCACCAAATCAAACAGTAAACGAAAGGCGAGTAGAAGTGAAATTGGTGAACTTTCGGTAAAACCCAAGAAACACTGCGGTGATGGTAGTGAGACGTCGTCATTGAGTGGATCAGAGTCTAGTTTGAAGTGCCCATCCACAGCTCCACCAAAGGAAAATCGAAGAGTTTCCAATATAAAATCTATGTCTGAAAAAAAAGTGATCAGACGTTCTACAAGGAAATCCCTGTGCTATGACATAGACATCAATAATACTACTAGAAGACGATCTACAAGACAATCCTTAAACTTTGGAGAAAAGGTTTCAAAAACTGATGCCACGTTTGATGATCTGAGTCCAGTATCGGTTGTTTTGGAAACGATTCAAACTGAGAAAAAAATTAAACTAAGTAAAAAAATGTGTATTGAACTAAATGATGATTTAGATGTGAAACCACTTACAAATAAACACTCAGGTAAAAACAAAAAATCTAAACGTGAAGCAAACAATCATAGTATATCTGTGAAAAGAACTCCATCACGATCAGCAAAGAAAAAAGTTGAAATCCCTTCATCTGAAAGCAGTGATTATGATGATAGTGATGATGATGATACTTTCAATGTTGAGAATGAAGTGGAGAGCAGTGACGATGAGAATTACGAACCTGTCAAAACTCCAAAATCTAAAAAGACTGTTGTGGCAACTCCCAAAAGTAATCAAAGGCAGAGAAGAAAGGTACAGTACATAAATATGAAATTTAATTTTTCAAATAATATTTATTTGATATTTTGAAAGTCTATCTATGTTATGTATTCATTATTTTTTCACTCATCGCAAATGTATCGTCAGTACATATAATTGTTTCATAGTCCATTTGTCCGTTTTCGCAGAGTACGATGGTAACACCGAAAAATAAAACTCCGAAACGAGGCTATTTGACACCTAGTATACCACAGCGTTATCAACCGTGTAACTTTCCAAGGAGTCCCTTGGAGGCTGCTCGAGCTAAACTACATGTGTCAGCGGTTCCTGATACACTGCCTTGCAGGGAAATGGAATTTGAGGATATCTATGCTTTTGTAGAAAGTAAAGTCCTGGATGGAAATGGAGGGTGAGTAAAACTAAAGTCATCTTACTGGTGTACATACATACGTTTAATGGTGTGATGGCCAACACTGAAAAATTATTTGTTGGTGTTAAAGTTCTTGTGCAGAACTTTATTTTATCTTTTTTTCTGGTGCTCGTGTTGAATCATGCAAGGTAACCAATGTTTGTGGATATAATGTTAATGTATATGTCTTAAAACAGGGGTGTGTCATCTGTCTTTGTTTGCGACCGAACCTATATCTTAGACATGCCTGGACCCATTACATTCAAACTTCACACATACATCATACATAATAATATTATACTTATGCACATCAATTTGTTTCACGATCTGATACAAGATGGCTGAATGACAGCCATTTTTGTACTGAAAAATCATTTCTCGGCTGTTTACAGATGGGTTTTATTCAAACTTGGTACTTACATCAGACATTGATGCACATCATTTTGTTTTTCAGAACGGATTCAAAATGACCGACTGGTGGCCATTTTGTTTTAATGAATGTGGTTCCAGAGCCATATCTCTGACATGCTTTGACTGACTATGTTCAAATTTTATATATTCGTTATACATTATAGATATTCAGATATTAAATAACAAATTTAATGACACCTAATCTATCAGAAATGACTAAAATACCATCACAAAGACTAAAAACTGACACAACAAAAGCTATGGACTCACAGCTAATCATTTCATAGATGTACAGATGTATTGGTTCAACGATTTGATTCAAAATGGCTGACCAGTGGCCATTTTGTTAAAATTATTGCTCTTCTAGAGCAATATCTCATTATGGGGCAAGTACTGTTTGACGATCAGATACAAGATTACCGAATGTCAAACATTTTAATGTTAAAAAATCATCATAATCAAGCATCAGCTTCTGGATTCATATCTCCGACATGTTTATGTTCCAACTATAATACTATAAACAAAACTATACATCTTAAATGTAATAACTAACGGGGACTGTGCCATGCATGGCTTGTTTTTGTTATAGTTGTATGTACATATCTGGTGTCCCTGGTACTGGTAAAACGGCTACTGTACATGAAGTATTGAGAACTTTAGAACAGGCTACAGAGGAAGGAATGGTGCCGTCATTTGAATTTATTGAAATAAATGGAATGAAGTTAACAGAACCACATCAGGCCTATGTACAGATATTGAAGGTGGGTAAAATTAGTTTGGCCAGGCCTATACAGATATTCAAGTAGGGCACATTTTGTGATAATGTAAGGCTACGCCTTTTTCACATATCAAATTTTGTCATTTAATCTTTGTAATTGTCATCGCTAAAAAGTTTTACAGGCATGGTTTTCTGCAAAAGTTGCGGTGACTGACCGGTCACTGGTAGCATAGTGGTTGTCGCATCAAACTTGTGATCGATAGACCCAAGTTCAAATGCCCACACAACCCTGTCATGTAGTCCCAAACATGAATATGACTTCTGTGGCAAAATGCACTATGCACATAAAAAAAAAAAAAAAAAAAATCACCCTGCTTCACACCTTCTGTCAGTGTTCAGCATGTGTTCTAAATCTAAGGATATTGAAGCTGACAGCAGTTAGTGCCAGGTCTTTTGAAAAAAAATTATGATTTGTGCTTTGAGTTTTTCATTCAAACATATAATTTTTTCAACACTTGGTCATTCATCCATGGAGTAATGGTATTGCTGTATTCTTTTAGCAACTGACGGGCCAGAAAGCAACTCCAGAGCATGCTGGGAATTTATTGGAGAAAAGATTTAACAGACAATCGGCACCAAGACAAAAAACAGTTATACTGTTGGTGGATGAGGTAAAGTTTGCTTACCAAAAATGTGTGTTTGTGTGGTGACATTGACCATTGTCTATAAGAATACTTACTTACATACATACTTTGAGGTATTTTCGTAATAACCTTATTATTATACATCTTTTCCTTCCAAGGATACATCATAGGAATGCCGAAATCCAAAAAATTTAGAACAGAATCAGCGAACGTCTTTGTGTGGAGTCCGGTCAAACTCCGATGGCAGCCATGTTTGTTTTTATTATTAGAGGACGCTTATACATGTAATCATTCCATATTTGGAATTCGCATTTCCCTATATGGTAGGATGAAAATGTAAAATACCGCAAAATTACGCCAGCTGTAATGACGTTACGGTGACAGATGTATGGCAGTGGTGAAAAATTCTAATCAACCTAATCAATCGTTCTTTGATTTAAGAGAAACCCTAAAATATCATGGAAATTCTTCCACAATATCTTAGCTCTGTTATTGGGGATCAGCGCAGAGCTGTTCATATAGGAGATTGTCTGCCTGTTAACTATTAGTTTTTTGATTTATTCATGAAAATTGCCAGCCTGATTACGTATGGTTGACCTCTGCCTGATTTGTTCATTTCATTAGTTTTGTATTTAAAAAAAAAAAAATTGTTTTTTTGAAATTGAAAAAAATGATTCCACAACTTAGAACTTTTTTTTCTTTTCTCCAGTTGGATCTACTGTGGACACGAAAACAGAACGTCATGTATAACTTGTTTGATTGGCCGACTAGACCTCATGCCAAGTTAATTGTACTAGCGATCGCTAATACTATGGATCTACCTGAGAGAATTATGATGAACAGGGTATCCAGTAGATTGGTAAGAGTATATAGTTATCACCCCCATATATAATGGTATATTCTCATTGTATGTAGTAGTGTTTCTGATTGACATGCCGAGTTAACACATCTCTGTGGATGTATGTTGTTAGTCTTTGAGTACTTTTTCAAAAATCAAATGATTTCTATCTTTAGGGTTTGACTCGTATGACCTTCCAACCGTATACACATACACAACTACAGCAGATAGTGCTCTCACGAATTAGAGACATTGATGCGTTTGATGATGACGCTGTACAGTTCGCTGCTAGAAAGGTTAGTTCGGTTTGATTTTTGTGTTTACAAAATTACCGTATTTATCCGGGTATAAGCCTAGGGTCCTGAACATGGAAAATTGCCAAAAAATAGGGGTGGGCGTTTGCCAGGAGATCCCCGGCAAAAAAACTCGGAAATTCGCGAAAATTGACAACACACGGATCGAACTGCGGTAGGGAATAGAACTGCAAATGAAAACATGCAATGGAAATAAATGAACAATATTCAACATTAGAAGTAAAAAACATAGTTGAACTCTGGTGACCTTGTATTTTGTTATATAATATAATTCTCTTTATCATAGTTTGTTTCAATATAAATATGCATTGTCATAATTAATTTTGAATACAAACAAGTTTTGGGGTTGAACCAACAGTGGGGAATCAGTCTACCGAATGTCCTTAAAAGATGTAAATATCTTACAAAAACATTGGTTCCTTATTTGTTTAATCATTTTAAGGGACATAATTTCCAGCTTTATTCAAAGTAATTCAGATATTTTAGTATAAAAACAAATACCTCATTGCAAAAAAAAGTGCTGCATTTAGACGTGAATAGATTCATAAAACATTCAAGATAACAAAAAATCTTAGCTGGCTTTTGTCCAAGTATTTTGTACAGGTGTCTGTCAAAAATTAATGATTCTCTGAGACAAATATGAACTGCCTCATTGTGTGACTATTGTATTATATGAAAAGTAAAAAAAAACACCCTTTATGAATAGCTATCATGTTGCAAGCTCTGCTTTGTATGCAAATCAACTTAAATAGTTAGT